AATACAGAAAAAAGTCTAAGGCACGAGATCGATTGTTGATTATTTTGCGTCTCACCTCCATCTCTCATTCTCTCCATCGTTGCCATTTGCCTTTTCTCGAATAAGACATCAAACTTTCCAAGCACGCATTCCCCAATTCTCACACCAATCAAACTCCACCATTTGCTACTACTAAGTACTAACATACTTCTTTTAAAAAAAAAAAAAATTAGAGTTAGTTCCACCTGTGATCTGATCTCTTGTCTTTGGTGACAATTTCAAATTTAGTCTTAGACGATAATCGTTTTTGTCATTTAACATCTTAGACTATTATTTTTTGGACATTTTTAGTCGACTTTTCCTATTTTTAGTAGGGCATTTTTGTCTCTTTATATTTTTCTTTTGTTATTTTTTCAGTTTCTACCAGTTTAATTAGTTTAGGACTTTACTAAAAATCGGTTGAAAAAAATTGGTACTAAAAATTAGAGGTTACTTAAAGTTCTAAACCAATTAAACCGGTTGAAACCAGAAAAATAACAAAAAAAATGAAAAAACAAAAATGTCATTACTAAAAATATGAAAAGTCATAGGAATGACTAAAAGTGTGCAAAAATAATAGTCTAAGATGTTAAATGACAAAAACGGTACGATAATCTGGGACTAAATTTGGTATTGTCACCAAAGATAAGAGGCATATGGTGAAATTAACTAAAATAATTTTTTTTTAACTAAAATAATTTAATATGTTTATTTTTATAAAAATGAACCAAACAGAAAAAATATAAATTCTTAACTTACAGCCAAACAAAAAAAAAAAAATAGTTTTCTAAACTTCAGCCAAATACCAAAAAATTAAAATATTTTCTAAACAAAATAGGTCATTTGCTAGAAATTATTTTAAAAAGATATTTTTCAGGTTTCAAAACGAACCTTAAATTGACATTTAAACTGATTATTTTGTGGTATAATTTTCAGTGATAATCACTTTGATTTGAGTTGGGTCAAAGTGATTTTGGACTCTCCTAAGTGTGATTACGAATTTGATATATTATACGCTCACAATGAATAGATAATGAGTGAATGAGAAAACAAGCTAATTAAGAGTTTGTGTGAAATCTATGCTACTTTGAGCAGCATGGGTATCTCATTTGCTGCTCTTAGTGAGGCAACATGTTTAAAATTATTGAGTCGTTAATTCTAATCAGTTTCGGAATTAATTATGACCAATTTTAATTTTTAATCTAAAATTAACTTTGTAACATCATTTTTTATTAAAACCAAACATCAAACATTTATTAAATTAACGAAGCAATACAAGAATTAACTACTAACATTATATTTAGGAAAATATTTTAAAGAATTAACTTTAAATCTTATTAAATTTGACAATTTTTCCTATTTTTAAACAATTAACTTTCTAACATTATATTTAGGAAAATACTTTAATCCCCTCATAAATTCCCCCTCCATTATTTTACCTTCTAATGTGGCTTCCATTCATTGGGTGCCCATGAGGCAATGAATTGGTAACCCACCACTAGTCAAAAATTACATTTAGTTATCAATTACATGTTGTCATGTCATGAGGGATGGATTGGAGCCGAGGGAGAAATTAAAATATGAGGGGTATCTAGCATTACTCTTATATTTGATTTGATTGCCAATTTTCAAAGTTACGAATTGAATTTTAAATTCAATTTTTAATGTCATTGGTGCTAATGAATTTCACTTCTATAAATACCTTTGTTCAAAATTTTTATTATTCGCTTTTTGAAACACACTTCAAAATTTGGATATTCTTCTTTCTACAAAATCTCTCTACAAAAATAGAGAGATTTTGTAGAAAGAAGAATATCCAAATTTTGAAGTGTGTTTCAAAAAGCGAATAATAAAAAATTTGAACAAAGGTATTTATAGAAGTGATTAATTTGTTGAAATGATATATTTGAGTGCTCTAATATACTCATTGGTATATGTTATATAAAGAAAGTGTGAGTGCCACACTGCCACATGCAGATAATTATTGTTGGTATCGGACTGAAATTTTTAGAAATTATTTTTAAAAAAAATTAAAATTCCCTTGTGTTTTTGAGTATTTTTATCTAACAAGTTCCTCTCTCCAATTTTGCCTTTGATATCTGATTTACCGAACTTTTATGACACTAATTTGGAATCATCTCAAAGCTTACAATTCTATTAATAGGTCACTTATTAACTATCTCACGATGTTCCGGTTAGATTATTTTGAATATTTTAATTAGACTAAAAGTAAAATATTTTTATTATCAAGAACTAAAAATGAAATAAATCAAAGTCAGGCAATTGCAGTCTCTTCTTCAATTACATTGTGCACCACACTAAAAATTATATTTCCTGCATCCTTAATCTCATGCATAATGCAATAATCCAGCATTTTCCCTAACATTCAATACCCTACAAGCCGAGGCACATATCTCAGCCTGAATTTCATAGAAAATAGCAAGTGTATACACGCTTGAAGCATATTTTTCCAATGTAAAGGTGTCTTGAACTCTAAAATATAGCATTCACTATCACTGTATTTTTTGCATTATTGTGTCGTTGTGAGGCCAAAGCACTATCAAAGTCTATCAAAAACTCAACTAGGCTAGACTGTGGGATGGTAAACCCATTAAACAAGTTATTCTCACTTTCTTATTTAATGTGATGTCCTAAGTAAACCACCCACAAAAAATCTCTAAAATAGATCGGGATACAAAATTTTCGTAACTCAAACATGTGTTTAAACCAAGTATGATTAACCAAGTCAAACTCTTCCATGAGCAACTTTCATTGCCTCTCAAAATCAACAGGTTCTAAAAGAACACTACACAATGGAGTTTAGTTAATTTGTTCTTAAAAGCCTCATTTTTGCTCAATGTAGAACCAACCTTTTTGCCAACTTTGCACATAATGTGCCACATGCAATACCGATGTCTAGCTAATTTGCTTAAAAATTCTTGAAATTGTCACTTTCATTGCTGCATCCTGATCAGTAATAACAATTATCCTTAGTTCAAAATCCATTGCATTTTTAAAGTTTTAAAATAGCCAAACATATGAATCTATGCCCTTTTTCAAATGTAATACATTTCTTGTGGTTATCAACTCCATTGAAGGGTGTAAAAATCATATTGTACCTACAAGCCAAAAAAAAAAAAAAAAAAACACCAGACTATGTAAGGCAGTACTGCACATAACACTACAGAGAGTATAACAGCAAAGTAATGCACCTTAAGTTGGAATGTGATGCACCTTAACCTTTAAACTTATGCACCTTAAACTTTAAATTCATGCACCTTAAGCTTTAAAATGATGCACCTTAAGTTGGAAAGTATGGGAGTTTATTTTCCTAATGAATCAAAGTTGTGCACTTTAAGACTTAAATCCATGCACCTTAAGCTGAAAAATTATACACCTTAAGCAATAAACTTACGCACTTATAGTCGGGAAATTGATATTCATAAGGAATCAAAGTTATGCACCTTAATGGTTAAATTTATGCAGCTTAAGGTGCACAAATTTACTCTTTAAGTTGCATGAATTTAAATCTTAAGGTGAATTAATATTAATTTGAATAGTCATTGCCTTACAGTATAAAGATAAGAATTTCAACTGCCAAAGCATTAAGGTGTGTGGATTTAGTGTTTATGGTGCGTGGTTTTAAGGCTTAAGGTGCATTAATTTGAATATTCACTGCCTTAGACTAAAGAGTTAAGATTTTCAACGGCAAAACCTTAAGTGCGTAAATATAAACCTTAAGGTGCGTGGATTTAGTGTCTAAAGTGCATGGTTTTAAGGCTTAAGGTGCATTAATTTAAATATTTACTGTCTTATCGTTCAAAATTAAGATTTTCAACAGCAAAGCTTTAAGTGCGTAAATTTAAACGTCAAGGTGCGAGGTTTTAAGGCTTAAGGTGCATTAATTTAAATATTCACTGTCTTAGACTAAAGAGTTAAGAACTTCAACTGCAAAGCTTTAAGTGCGTAATTTTAAAACTTAAGGTGCGTGATATTAGTGTTTAAGGTGTGTGGTTTTAAGACTTGAGGTGTATTAATTAAATATTCACTGTCAAGCCTTAAGTGAGTAAATTTAAACCTTAAGGTGCGTAAATTTACTATTTAAGGTGCGTCGTTTTAGAGCTTAAGGTGCACTAATTCGAATATTGACTACCTTTAAGAATTTCAACTGTAAATCCTTTAATGCGTAAATTTAAACCTTAATGTGCGTAAATTTACTCATTAAGGTGCATGTTATTCGTAATCCTAATATTATGTGTTCATAAACTTGTTTTTCTTTGAGTATTTGATTGTATTTTAAAAACTTCCTAAAAATAATGCATACAGGTTAAAAGATTTAAATATATGAGCAACATAACAATTTGCAATCAATAGTGATCGAAATTGAATGAAAAAAACATACCTTGATTGAATTCTTCCATCGAAGAATAATCGCCATAGTTTTACCTAATGTTTATGTATAGAGAAAGAATTGATTAAGAGTCAATTATTGATATTACAAAAGGACAAAAAAAACCCATAATTAGCATTAAACGTTAAAAAATGCGTTATTTAGTCTTTTTGATCAACTCCTATCAATGGCTTAGATTTAACACTTTACATAGGAGCTATCGCCTCTATATATATATATATATATATATATATATATATATATATATAACAGACTTGATGTAAATTCATTGTACTTACTACTCTCTACCAAAAATGCTACTCTGAACTAAATTTTATAATTAAATATCACAATTTTAATGACATTAATTAATTAGATAAAAATCTTATCAAATTGATATAAAAGGTAAGTTGTTAAGTATGACAATTTACCTTAGACTAATGGTGAGGTTAATTAATTAGATAAACCATATTAAGTTTGAGAATGACAAATTTATAGATATTGCATTGTAATAAAGTCAGTAGTACTCAAAAAAATATTAAGTTTGAGAGTGGCAGGGTCGCAACGGTTTTAAAAGTGATGAAAAACAAAGTGAGTTGAAATAAAATTAAAATTAACTTGGCAAGGTGGCAAGGCATCTAATCCAAGAACTTTGAGCATTCTTTGCAATCCAATATCCTTTGAGGTTAACAACCCGGCCTCTCCTCCGATGAATGTAGTAGCTAGTGATGTGATAATGTATGATCGGCCTGGGAAAGGGAGTGATGAATATTAGTGATGAAGGTGGTTTTATCATTGGATCTCCAGTCAGTGAGGTAGCTTGGCCTTGTAGTTGGGGCTGCTATTTCAGTGTCCCCTAAAAGCATTGCCACCACACGGGACATGGATGGGCGCGATACTGGGGATGTTTGGGTGCACAAAAGCGATACCCCTATCACTCGTTTCACTTCATCCTCGTTGAATTCTACTACGTTTTTATCCACCAGATCAACCTCACCATTAGTCTCGTGGAAACGCCAAGCCTAAAAATCAACAGTCAGTCAGGAATCAGGATCCCATTTCAGACATTACGGTTTTTCATATCTTCAATATTAGTCATTGATGATAAACAGTCATACCCATTCAAGAAGATACACTTTGTCTTCTTCCAAGCTCGAGTCAGAGTTTGGCCTACCACTGACTATCTCCAAGGCAACAACTCCAAAGCTAAATACATCGGCCTTCTCAGTAAGGTGGCCAAGCATAGCATATTCCGGTGCAAGGTACCCACTGCATCAACAATTAGTAGTTTGATATATAAATAATCATAAAATCTCAGACACAGTCAAATTGAATGAAAAGGAGGATGGATATAGCGGGGTTTAAGGATATATCTTACATTGTGCCTGCAATATGGGTGCTGATATGAGTCTTTTTATCATCATACAGCTTTGCCAACCCAAAATCTGAGATTTTAGGGTTGAGGTCTGAGTCCAGTAAAATATTACTAGCCTTGATATCTCTATGTATGATTCTTGGCCGAGATTCCTCGTGTAGATAAGCTAGACCTCTTGCTATTCCCAAGCATATTTCAAAACGTCTTGGCCAATCAAGATACAAGTTACTACCTCCTAGACAAAATTAAAAAAAAAATAAAAAAATCAGCATCCTCTTTCTATCAGAAATAAGTTATAGGAACTAAGGAGCATAAAATTCTAAGATAAATACCAAATAGTGCTTGATCAAGACTCTTGTTTTCATGAAACTCATACACAATCAACCGTTTCTCTCTCTCATAGCAACATCCATACAACTTCACAAGGTTGCGGTGTTGGACAGCAGAAATAGTTGCAATCTCCGCCACAAACTGGCTCTTCCCTTGGCGGGAGGCCACAGAGAGTTGCTTAACAGCAACACTTCTCCCATCATCGAGTAGTCCCTATTTATCACAAAGTTTAGGATAAAGAACAGAAAAATCCTAAGCCATTTCTTTTGGGTTCACATGTTTCTCAATAAAATGAACTTGCGTTTAGATGGAAATCATTAGTTAGCTATGTTATGCATAACCAGACCATTTTGATGGCTTATAACCAGAAGGTAGAGCTGGCATAAACAAGAGGAGAAATTTTATGGAAGAAAAGTATAAAGGAAAAAGGAAATGGATTAAAGATGCAATTCAAACAAGTACAGGGATTCTTTTCTATTTTAAGGGTTCCACTTTTTATGTGCAAAAGTTGAGGGAAAATTACTTCACCACTTCCACTGAAAGAAAGAATTACCTTGTATACTGGTCCAAATCCCCCTTCACCAAGCTTGTTAGACGGACTAAAGTCACCCGTTCCAGCTCTTAATTCTGTGTAACTAAAAGTATATGGCTTCACGCCCATTCTCAAGAACTCTGCAAATTCAATATGCTAGTAAACTTCAAATTTGAAACCAATAACATAATAACTTCTTTCCACCTCCCCTCAAAAGAGTATAGAAGTAGAAGAAAGGTAGCAATACATGAATCTAAAAAGACATTCATCTATAAACATTATTTTCATTCTTGCAAGCCAATTTGTGTTCCGTACTCTTACTTTTACTCATAAACGAGATGACAATTAAAAAAAACATGCTAGCAATCTTTCTGTTATGGAATGTAAGTAGGCATAAGAGACAAACATAGGGATTTGAGTAGGCATAAGAAACAAACATAGGGAATGGGATTTGAGTAGGCATAAGAAACAAACATAGGGAATTGTCTAGCATGTATAATATAGGCTGTGTACTCTCCTTTCTAATGTAACAAAAAATTTTCCAGAACTATTCTTCCTCTTCTCTTCACTTCTTCACCTACGTACACTTTCCAACATAACTGAAGTGATCGATAGCAAGAGTTGGTACACCCATTTTTACAAATTTCTTCCACGCCCAGCTATGCTCATATATATTCACAAAATAATTTCTCAAGCACAAGCAAAAATGAAGCTCTAAGGCTTCTGGAGAAAAAATAAGAAACAAATAAAATAGAACAGGATTGTAGTCAAATTTTTACTTACCTTCATCATCATATGTGTCCTGCCTTATTCTTCTCTGAATGAAACAATACACAACAAATACAGAAAGAGAAATCATGGCTCCAACCCCAACAACAATTCCCACAATCATGCCAGTTCTATTCTTCTGTTGTTCAGAGGGAACAGGATCTACAGAAAAGTTTGGCTTTCAAAATAGAATTTTCAAAAAATTTTAATGACATTTTAGTTGAAACAGTAACGAGAGATGATTGTATGTACCTAGGGTTGCACTGATTGCTGAAATGAGAGGTCCATAAGTACCTTGGCTAGGTACACAGCAAGTTCCTTTCCCAGCCCAAAATAGATGGATCTCCATATGATTTTCAGATACCTGAACCGCATATTTCTTTGAAACAGCTCTGAATGATCCCCCAGCTTCTTTTTGAATGTCAAAATCTTTCTCCTCTAGATTGCCCTGAAGAGAACAACTAAGCTCAATATCATGCATAAGTGAAGATAGAACAAGAATTGGTGTGAGAAAAACTTCAAATTTTACTCTAACAAAAGCATAGAACATGTAAAGAAGTCAAATAGTTGTGGAAAAGGGATCAACGGATACCATAAAAGATGAGTAGGATTAAAGAAATACAACACAATCATATAAGAATTACTTGGCCAATTTTGTGTCCAATCTCATCATAATAATTCAGTTTTAGTCTCAACTATTGTGATATTGTTATATTTGATCATTTGCTACAATTTTTATATAATTGACTTTAATTTTTGATATAATGGACTTTAATTTTAATATTCTATTTCTACTTAGAAAGCACCCTTAAATTACATAATAATCAATATAACATAGAAACAAACTAATTTTTCATAAAAAAAAAGTCTTATCTAATTATTATTTATTATAATCATTTATAAACATTTTTTCAACAAGAATATGAAACTAAGATTGTATAATAGTGAATTGTCTTATAAATTAAATTAATTCAACGGAAATTGTAACAATGGACCAAAACAATGTTGGTAAAGTCATGGAACTAAATGTTGTACCAAATTAAAAGTTAGGAAATAGGTGTGGCAATGTCACAATAGTCGTGGGACTAAAAGTGAAATTTTCTCTTTATGATATATATAGTGTGTTCTATTTAAGCTCTGCTCCAAATTTGTTATATGCCCTTGAGTCAGTATATCCTTCACAAGTTCACATGTATAAACCATCTTAATTGATCCTATCAATTTCATCCCGAATAGATGCCACTCAATCCATACTTTGGAAAATTCATTTCTCTAAAGTAATTTCAAATATATCCACATGCAAATAAATTTTTCAATCTGCAATACCCTACCCAAATCCTAGAACACGTACCTGTATATATATATCAAAAATGCGCCTCCCAAGAGATTCCCAGGAAGGAGGTTTAGGATTCAGGATTATTGACTCTGCAAACCAGAGGGTCACAGTGTAATTACCATTCTCCAAGCCCAAACCATAGTACCTTAGTGATCCAGCTGAAAGCCTTGCTCTCTGGAAAAGGAGAGGGTCCACAGTATTTGTAAAAACTGAAGAACTGGAGGTTGTGTATTTTGTACTATTGCTATCAATGGACAGTCCAGCATTGCTAACAGCCCACCTGCCTGTGCTTGTCATGTAATATGTTGCCGGACCAAGAGTCCCATCCCCCTCGTACACTATCCCATCAGATGATGTAATTTGTTGACCACCACAATTAATAGCAAAGCTAGAGTCTGTGGGTGTTAAGCGAATATGAATGCATTAAAAGAATCCATACAACCATACCAGAATACATAGAAATAGAATAGCAGTCGCCTAACAATTTATAATCTCTCAAAATTTAAAAGAGGTTATAATGAATATTAGGGGTATCAAAACTAAAAATAAATATATTTTGGTGTTTTATTTATTTGGCCTCCTTTTCATAGTATGTAGTGGTTAAAATTATACAAATAGCAACAGAATAGAAGTTGGGAAAGTGCAGAAATTTTTACCTTTAAAGAATTACAAATTCAACACTTTTTTTTCAAGCATAAAATACCAAACAATGAAAAATGTTTTAGTTTAACTTACAAATGGGAGTTTCCTGAGGGCATTGGAAATTATTTTGAAGACAATTCAATCCTGTAGGCAGAGAACTGAAAGGAAAAGGGTGCATTGAATCAGATAAACATCGAATTTAAGAGAAGTTAAAACTTTCTCAAAATAGTTCAACTTAACTTGCATCACTCTGGCAGAACAAACTGTCAAAAACTTTTTCTGAGAAAACAATAGCCTGAAGTAGTCATGGCTACAGTTCAATTTGACCTATTTACTATTCTAAGCAGAACCTTAACCAAGAACCTAAGGTCCCAGTTAAGATTCCTCTATTTTAGGGATAGTAACCAGAACTTCCTATATAATTCTTAAAATTTATCAGTTCAAAGTGATTTTGAAACTGAACTAGAGTGATTGGTACTGCACAGTTCAGGTTCTAACTCCGGTACTGCCAGTTCTGGCCTAGTAAGCCATGGTGATGAGTAGCCCGATGTAGATTTTAAATTGAATTAAACATATATAGCCTTTTAATTGGGAGCAGCATATTTAATTTTCCATATCTATGATCAGAGCTATGTCCTTCGGAAAATTTTTTAAAAAAAATAAAAATAAAAAATAGAAGATAGTGATTTCTGAAACACGATATATATGGTGAATGTAACATTCACCTGCCGTTAGAGTTGTCTATGGTAAAGTTATTCCCAACCAGATTCCTGCAAATTATATATCAGCAAGTGGCAACATTAGAACTCAAGAAGAAACTCATGCTACACTAAAAAACGAAAAATATTGTGTTGAAATTGAGGGATTGAAAGGCCTAGTGGGTGGCGAATGGCCACCACCCGCCAATTAGGGAAAGCACAATATTTTGCATGGTACTGAGGAAATTTACATGGAGCAACCACCTGGGTTTGTTGCTCAGGAGGAGTGTGTGAAGGTGTGTAGTTAAAGAAGCCTCTGTATGGCTTAAAACAGTTTTCATGAGTTGGTTAACTTGGTTTGGGAGATTTAGCAGTGCGATTATCAAGTTCAGTATACAAAGGAGTGCATGTGATCATACAATCCTTTTCAAGCATACTAATGTTGGATGTATTATGTTGATAGTTTATGTTGATGATATAGTGATCATAGGAAGTGATGCAGGACTGCAGGAAGGATTGAAGCTCTCAAGTTTTTCCTCAAAGAGAAGTTTCACACAGGATTTGGAAGTGTTGGAGTATTTCCTGGGTATTGAAGTTGTTCGCTCTAAGAAGCGTGCTTAGATATACTTGGTGATACTGGACTACTGGGATCAAAGCCCTGTGAGACGCCCATGGAGCAGGGTGTTACGCTGGCAGATTTGCTCACTAAAGAGCTTAGCATGGATAGAGTTGAGTATACTTGTAACAAGCTAGACATGATGAATATCTATGCTCTAGCTTGAGGGGGAATGTTAGAGAGAGTTGAGGACTTGAGGGAGTCAGAGCATTAGTAGGGCTGTTAGAGAAGTTAGTTTGAATTCAAATTTGAATTCAGTGGCTGTAATCTAATGGTTGCACCTATATATACACTGTATTATTCTCAGTATAGGAAACAGTGTGAATTAATTTGTTCTTCCTTCTAACATTAACATGCATGACCCTTGGAAATGAAGATGAAAGCACTAAGGACAGAGCTGAACGCAAATAACCTCATGATAACACAGCAACACAAGCACTTTAAACCAAAAAGGCCTTCATCAAGAGCAGTAGAGGTAACAAAAAGCCTTTGGAAATTTTTTTTTTTTTTTTTTTGAGTAGTACTTACTCTATTACATTGTAGTATCTATTTATCTATACTTTCTCAACCTATTGAAGCACAAAGAGTCAACACTGCTTCCACTGAGGCTCGATCTCATGACCTCCCATATGGGAGAGTCACTACATGCCATCTGAGCACAAGCTGCTTGGCAGCCTTTGGAAATATAGTAGTGCTGAAATTGAACACCCTCAGGGAATAAATCACCAGAAATAAGGAAAGAAACATGGCAATACCGAAATTGAACACTCTTATGCAAGAAACTCGACAATGGACCCAAAAAGCTTTCAAATCTCACCGGAAAGTACTTAACACAGATCTAGAAATTTTCACCAAACAAATTAATCACCGGCAAGCGCACGTGCCGGCACATGGAGGCCTCACTGGCACATGATGCTGGCGATGGCATCCGATGACAACAAAATTTCATAGACTTGGCTGCCAAAGAGGGAGGAATCTAATAGTGTAGGCAATGAGATCAAAACATCACCAAAGAAGGAGAGATCTAAGAAAAAAACAAAACACAGCATTGGAAGGAATATTGCACAACATGTACATTGTTGTCTCTTCATACTTACAGTTGTAAATCTTGTCCACTGGTCCAAGAAGGGAAGCTCCCAGATAATTCATTGTATGATAAATCTCTGTGGGTGAAAATATTGAGGATGTTAAGGACACATGCAGTGATGCAGAGCATTAACAATTTCCAAAGGCCATTCAACAGAGAATTTTACAAAAAATAAGATGGATATAAAATGTAGAGTTTAGTGTACTTGTGAAGTTTAGCTTTCTAATCAAAATGGCATAACTCACATATTCTGTAGATTTGGGCTCTTCTGTGCAGGCAACGGACCAATTAACTTGTTATTACCAAGGAACCTAGAGATTGGAATGACAATATGTAAGAGTACACCAATAAGATGGTATTAGAGTAAAAGAAATTTCTGGATGATTTATTACAAATTTTTGAGTGAACTGAGAATGAAAAGTTCATTTGAAATACGGCCTGTCAAATGGTTGAAGCTCAAATCCCTAAGAAAAAAAAAAGCTAATTAGAGCATTCCTATGGAATGAAATTAATATTATATAAGTAAAATTTGAAAGTATATTAAATAATAATAATGACCCTCAATCTACAGTACACCTTTATGGCTTCAACAAGGGATCAGAAAGTAAAGTATCTCACCAAACACAGGCAGTAGACACTCAAATATTTTGATTAAAAACATCTTTCAAGCAGAGGACTTACAGCAGAAACAAGCTCTGATGTTCTCCAATATTAGAGGGGATGGAACCAGAAATATTGTTATTCCGCAAAACTCTGAAGACCAACCGACCAGTTCATTATACTAGGTCAGATTCCAGGAAAAGAAAAAAATGAAAAATAAAACTTTGCAGATTGGAGCTGATCATGACTCCTTACAGTATGCTTAAATTCTTCATATTACTAATGAAGTCCAGTGAAGAGCTCCCATTCAAAAGACCAATTATCCTCCTGCAAGTATCCAGTGCAGTAGACATTAGAATATTCTTCACATGAAAAACAAACTTTGTAACACATAAAAAAGTAAGAGTTTGGATAAAACTCACAAGTCAACCATTGAGGTTAACTTTGAAAATGTAGATGGAATTGGGCCCTGAAATGAATTTCCTTCAAACCTCCTGCATAATTACAAATTACAAAATATATGCCAATCATAACCAATGGAAAGTGAGAACCAGCAATGGGCATGGATTAAAAATGATTTTCCAATGAATCTAGAGATCAAGTTCAATGGACCGTCTGGAAAGGATAATAATCTTTTTAACGGTCTTACAGGTTAGTAAGCTTTGACCAATTCCCAATGAAATCAGGTATCCTCCCTGTAAGCTCAGTGTCTGAAGCCCCCCTGAAAGAAACAAAACTTTCTCCATTGAATGCCATGCACTTGATTTTTACAATAAAAAATAGCCAAGGGGGCACTTACACTATTTTTAGGTTCAGTAGATTTGCAAATGTTGGAGGTATAGGACCACTAACACCGGAGCTATCTATATAGCTGGCAAGTGAATAAAAAATCTGTCAATATAAAGAGAAAATTGTAGAGGTCGTATTCTTAAAAGCATCAAATCAATCTTACAGTTCTGTTAGATTTCTCAAATTCCCTAGCTCCAAAGGCAAAGGTCCAGAAAAGTTATTTGTGCTAATGGAACTGCAACACATGCAAGTTTAAATTGTTGTGCAAACAAATGTCCAAGAATATCCTGATCATATACATCAATAACGAATCATAATATCCATGAATGTCTTACAAGGCTCTTAAGTCAGTCAGCAAACCGAGTGCCACTGGAAGCTCCCCTGACAGTGCATTAATGCCTAGGGCTCTGGTGACAATGAAAAAAGAATCATATATGCTTTTAACGTGTACTTAACATGAAACAAAATAACTATATCAAGTTAAATAAAGCAGATAAAGTTGACTTACAGGTATTGCAACCGATGCAAATTTCCAATGGAGGGGGATAGTGTGCCAGTCAAGTAATTTTTGCCAAGATTTCTACAATAAAAATTAGGAACGGTCTAAACTTAGAAGAAAATTATATATACTAGGGGAGGTTTCAGGTGAGAACACCTCTGCCAGTAAAAAGTGTGAACACATCCACACATATGATCAGAAAACTAATCGGAGCCGTCCATCTGAAGAGATCTAAAGGATCAGAAGCAATTTTATAAAAATAATAATATGCTGATATTTTTGTAAATAACTCGAACTTTGAAGGGCAAGTAACAAGTCTGCAAGTAAAATGTGCAAGTAACATTACTATAAAGTGCAACATTTTTACAGTATAGAGTGCAAGTAATCTACCTTTCACATTCAGTGCAATTAATGATAATTGAAAATGCACTTAATAGTGTTGCTCGGGTGTACTTTATATTGCTGCACTCTATGATATAT